CCCCCTGCACATCCCCGCTGTTAGGGGCCCCTGGCTAGTGCGTGTTCCCCGGACGCGGTGCACAGTAGGACCACACAGTGCGGGTCCCTGACTGGCCATCGGGTGCAGCTGATAGGCGAGCACACACAGTGGGTCCAAGCTTTTGTCAAACCCTCATTGCATATGTAACAGCCACGCAGTGAGCACTTATAAATGTTTGCTGAAAAACAGCGATGATAAACTTGGCACTTTACAAGGTCCTCACACCTCCGCGAGGCGCCTTGGATGCAAATGCCTCCATTTTAGAGCCGGACGAATAAAGCCTCGGCAAAGCGAAGTGCGCGGCGCGGGGTGGGGGGGAGTCAGCATCTGGTGTCTGACCAGGGCTGCAGTGAGGGTGAGCCGTGGTGGCGCTCGGTCAGCCTTAGCGGCGATCGTCCTAGAGCTGCATGCTGGGAGGCTGCGACTGTGCCCCAGACTTGATCGTCCGGCTGTGGAATCAATAAGAAGGAGCCTGAAACACTCCTGCTTGTCTCCTAGTTGATCCTCAGAGCAGCCCTGGGAGGTAGACAGTATTATCCCCCTTTTACAGACGCGGCAACTGAGGCTCCCCAAAGGTAGGTAGCAGAGTTCAGGGCTCACCCCCCAAAGTCTCCAAATCCCCAGATAATTAGTGAGCAACATACATAGTTACATGCTAACAACTTAGCACTTAATTATGTACTGTTTCTCACTGTATTGTATGTAATTTAACGCTAATTGCAGGGTTTCAGAATGAGCTGCAGGGAGCGGGGGCGAGGAGCTGGGCTCTGGAGAGGACAGGGGTGGATTTCTGCATAAGGGAGTAGAATGAAAAAGGTCGCAGGGTAGGAATGAGCATGGATGGGGAGTAGCCCGAGATAGTGCTCCTTAGATAATGGAGCTCTACGAATGTAAACGTAACTAATAGTCACAGAGAAAGTTCTCTTGTTTGTTTGTTTTTTCAAAGTTTATTTATTTTGAGAGACAGAGTGCGAGTGGGGGAGGGGCAGAGAGAGGGGAGAGAATGCGAGACAGGCTCTGCAGGGACGGGGGTGGGGGGGGCTTGATCCCACGAACTGTGAGATCATGACCTGAGCCGAAATCAGGAGTTGGCTGCTCAACCGACTGAGCCACCCAGGTGTCCCAGTGTTTATTTTTGAGAGAGAGAGAGAGAGAGAGAGAGAGAGAGAGTGCACGCAAGCCAGGGAGGGGCAGAGAGAGAGAGAGGGGGCCGGAGGATCCGAAATCAGCTCTGTTGTGACGACAGCAGAGAGCCCAATGTGGGGCTCAGACTCATGAACCGTGACCTCACGTCCTGAGCCAAAGTCGGCTGCTTAATGGACTGAGCCACCCAGGAGCCCCTCCCTGAGAACATTCTAAATGCTGGAACTGGACTAAGCCCTTTCCACTGCTCCTGTTTGCCACCCATGTTTAACCCTACGCAAGAAACAAAAAGGCAACCACACAGGTATTGTTATTACTTCCATTTTAACAGGGGAGTAAACTGATGGCAATGCGGGGACCCCGCGCAGGGCCTGGTCTCCAAGCTCCTGTTCTTCCTGGCTCAAGTTCAGAGACCTTCCGATTAGAGGTGGTCTGGGCTTGGGCCTTGCTTCTCCACGTGGGCCCCAGAGCATTGCCTGGGGGCTGGTTAGAAATGCAGCCTTGGGCCCTCCCCAGTCCTACCTAGTCGGAACCCTCGAGTCAGAGTTTCTCCGCAGTCCCCAGGTGATTGATAGGCAGATCAGTTAGCATTTGAGAAGCATGGGGCTGGTGAGAAGTTTGGCTGGACACGTGTCTGGGCCGTTCAAGTCTTTGTGAGGACCTCTGTCTCCCGGCAGAGGCGAATAAATGCATTCCCGGAGGGTTTGAGGTGAAGGCCCCGGGCAGCCCATCCCACGCTGAGATCTCTTTGTCATCTCGCATTTCATCTTAAAATGTCATTGACTGTTCATTCCACACCATAGTACATCAGTGGTCATTTTGATATTTCAAAATGGTTATGTAAATTGCCGCGGAGTAGGATGCGTGTTCCGGGAAGATGCATGAGATGGGTTTCTTTGTATCGTAAATGGGGTAATAATAACCACTTCCAGGGCTCCTTCGAAGATCAAAGGAGAATCATGTGTATGGAAATGCTCGTGAACTGTCTGCCTCAGACCTGTGTTATTCTGGAAGGGAGGGAGAAATCCTCCCCAGACCCGTTGTCCTGCAACCCGCTCTCTGAGGGCTGAGGGTGTACGAGTGTTTCTCCCTTTCAGGACGAGGCAGGGCTGGGTCCCAGAGAGGACAAAGGACCCTGTCTGGGCATCTCAGGAAGCCAGGGAAATAAGAGAATGGGGTCAGCTATTGCTAGTTTGTTTATTTAAATTCCTTATTAGCCCCCACTTCCTGATTGTTTGGCCAGATGAGCAAGCAGGAAAACCCGGGTAAAACTCAAGAGGTTTCAGGGACATCAGAACAGGAAAGAAGATGGGAGATGAGGAGGACTTCATCCTGTCCCCGGGTGGACCTCGAGAGAGGGGGGTGTGGTGGGGGTGACAGAGAAGAGGTCCGACTTCAGCTCAGGTCACGATCTCACCGTTCGTGAGTTTGAGCCCCGTGTCGGGCTCTCTGCTGTCAGTGCAGAGCCGGCTTCTGATTATTTGTCCCCCTCTCTCTCTAACTGCCCCTCCCCTGCTTGTGCTCACACTCTGTCTCTCGCTCGCTCTCTCTGTGTGTCTCAAAAATAAATAAACTTTTTTTTTTTTTTTAAAGAAAGGAAAAAGGACAAGAAAGGGGGATCGGACTGTCAGCCCTGGACCAGGAGTGACCTTGGGTTCCCTGAAAATGTCCTCTTTCCTCTGGAAAGAGAAAATGGAGGAGGGAGACACAGAAGGGTGACACGGACAGAAACAGTGACCATCCCCAACTGGGGCCAAGGGGGAAGGAAGTCAGACAAGGCATCGGAGGGGAGGGAGGCTCATTTACAGCTGCAGAAGCTGAAGGAGGAGAATCTGGGGACGATGGAAGGGGGATGGTCAGCAGTCCCCCCTGGCCCAGAGCAGCTAGGAAGGATGAATGTGGGAAGAGCTATTATATTTGGTTAAGGAGGTTATGGGTCACCTGTGGATAGGGTTGTGGTAGAATAATGGTGTTGAAGCCAGCTTTTGAGAAGAAGAGAATGATGGGGATTTTCTCTTCTCCCCATGGTCGTAGTTAGGATTTTCACACAAATTGCATTTCTATTACAAATGTCTTACTTGCCATTTAAAACTTAATCCATGTAACTTGTGACTAGAACCAAGCTGATATTGCCTCTCTAATCCATCCCTTGGCAAAAAAAGTTATTTAAGAAACGTAGAAAATGGCAAAGCATTGTTTACAGGATGATCCTATTTTTGTTTGAAAGAATGTCTGTAGGGGCGCCTGGGTGGCTCAGTCGGTTGGGCATCTGACTTTGGCCCAGGTCAGGATCTCGTGGTCTGTGAGTTCGAGCCCCACGTCGGGCTCTGTGCTGACAGCTCGGAGCCTGGAGCCTGCTTCGGATTCTGTGTTTCCCTCTCTCTCTCTGTCCCTCCCCTGCTCATGCTCTGTTTCTCTCTCAAAATAAAGTAAACGTAAAAAAAAAAAGAAAATTAAAAAAAAAAGAACGTCTGTGTTTGCATGTGTATTTTATAAACATGTATATATACATATGTTCTAAAGAAAAACATCTAAGGGTATATGTATCAAATTATAATGGGGGTTTTACTGGCATATACATATGTCACTTTAAATATGTGTAGTTTATTTTACCTGAATTATCCTTCCATAAAGCTGTAAAAAATTGTAATAGAGGTTATCTCTAATGGTCCGATTGTGGTATATATGACATCATTCTTTTGGCTGCACATGACAGAAACTCAGCAGAAACTTCTCAAGCAATAGCTGAATTGTCCAGATACTTGTTCATACATGAGTGGACCCAGGGTCTCAGGTTATGACATTAGGGATCTCCTTTCCATCTCTCACGCCTGCTGTCTGCCCCATTGACCTCGTTCTCAGACAGTTCCAGGCCTGTGTCTCAGCAGCCTGGCACCCCTGTGGAAAGAAAACAGCTTTTCCCCGAAGAGTATCCGCAACGTCCCAGAGCTGACTTTCGAGCACCCGACATGGGCCCTGGCTCAGCCGCAGACCAAAGGAACTTCCAAGGGCATCTCCGGAAGCCAGTGAACTGAAAAAAGGGGCCGAAGGGTTCTCTGAAGGAAACCCAGAGTTCTGTTGCCTGAAACGGGGGCATAAAACCACAAGTGTCTGCTCCTCAAGGAGCCTTCACTGTCTGGGTCCTATGTTTTTGTAGCGACTGGGTTTTTTTGTTTTTTTTTTTATTAAATTAAAAAAAAATTTTTTTTTCAACGTTTATTTATTTTTGGGACAGAGAGAGACAGAGCATGAACGGGGGAGGAGCAGAGAGAGAGGGAGCCACAGAATCGGAAACAGGCTCCAGGCTCTGAGCCATCAGCCCAGAGCCCGACGCGGGGCTCGAACTCACGGACTGCGAGATCGTGACCTGGCTGAAGTCGGATGCTTAACCGACTGCGCCACCCAGGCGCCCCAAGGGTTTTTTTTTTTTTTTTTTTTTTTTTAATAAGCGTGCGTTTCTCTTGCCGTGGCAAGAGAAAAATGAGATCCCTCCTGAAACAACGGATCTGGGGTACATCTGATTATGATCATTCAGATAAATAAATAATGAGTGTGGAGAAAACGGTAAAGCTCAAACCTAGTCCGATTTTAGAGGGCATGGGAGGGAAGGACAGTGTTGAGGCTGGGGACTCAGCCTCCTGCTTTCTGTAGACTGTTAGCTGTGGACGTGGAAGGCCCACCGGGCCATCAGGCGGTCTCTGGGGCTCTGGGTCACCAGAGCGACGCGCCCAGAGAGCTGGGCCCTCGTCAAGCTCGCCTCTGCCTCTCGGCCTCTCCTGCCTCAGTAAATAATTCCCTGCATTCCGATATCACACTGCTCTGTTTCTTCCTTTCAGGGTTATACTAAGGACATGGTACCAGACTTTGATGAGAAGCATGATGAGTATTTAATATTGCTTCAGCAGAGGAACCGGTAAGATAAAGCTGCTCAGCGGCAGCCCCATAAAAACCCTATTTAGATTGCTTAACAGCACTTGGGCTCTGTTGCACGTGGGAATGGTATATAGTCACCCTCCACTCAGGGGCTTGGGATTTGAGCTGAAGTCCCAGCCCCCGGTTCTCCATCCGCCGATGTAATAGCATCTTTGAGCTGTAGCCAACCGCTCTCCCCGTAACTACCACCTCTCGCCTCCCCGCTCCTGTTCTGGGAGGAGGTGGCTTTGTCTCGAGAAGCCGGAACCCGGCAGGGCCTGGGCCTCAGTCACCTGAAGAGCCCAGTCTGTGATCCTACAGGCTTTGCCGGGCCCCTTGAAACCTGAGCCTGTAATCCTGCCTCGTGAGATAAAGGTGGAGCCACCTTCCGTCTGTGTTTGAAGTTGGTCGGTATGTCGTTGAAAGTTAAGTTCGTACTGATTTTGACTCTGGAGGGCTAGCTCCTGAAAAAAAAAAACCCACAGCGGTGGAGGCAGTGTTTAGTGACTGAGGGCAGAGCGGTCTGGTCCGGTTTGGAAAGAGGTGTCCCGTCTTCAGCGCCCTCGCAGGGCCTGTGCAAGTTCATCAGGCCCCGGGCCTCGCGTTAGGCCGGATTCGCAAATTCAGATGCTAGGAGGGCGTGATGGCAGTGAGCAAAACCAGCTCGGTGGAGACCGTGGGCACCTGGAATTCTCACTCCCATCCTGCTCCGCTCAGGGCCACCTGATGTGTGCGGGCACACGGGTCCAGGGGTCCGTATCCTCCGAGGTTGATGGAGAAGCTGGAAGTCTGGCTCTGTGTTGTGAAATCTCCTGAGTTTTAAAATGTTGGTAATGCACTCAGATTAAAACACAAAACAGGGTCGTCTGGGTAGCACAGTCGGTTGAGCGTTTCTGGCTCTTGTTTCTGGCTCAGCTTGGGATCCCAGGCTCATGGGATCAAGCCCCGTGTCGGGCTCTGCACTGAGCGTGAAGCCTGGTTAAGATTTTCTCTTTCCCCTGCCCCTGCTCTGTTTGTACTCTCTCGCTCTCTCTTTCTCAAAAACAAAACAAAAAAAACCCCACAAAACAACTACAAGAATGCTACGGGCTCCTAAAACAGATCAGGCGTGAGTGAGGAGGTGGGGGCCCTGATCTGGGCGTTTGTGTTCTGGGAATGAACTTGGGGTCTTGCAGGCAGGAGAGCCTGGGGGTTGTCACCCTGCATGTGCATCCCGCCCTCATCTGGCTGGTGGGGCTCCCGGTGCTCGTCAGGCAGGGCCCTGGTGGCATATTATATGCACAGGTTTAGTCCTTCATGTTCTATAGCTCAGCGTTCCTGCCCGCCGGCCCCTTTACTAACTTCTACCGAGTATCTCTAACAGTATCTAACAGATACTTCCCCAGTATCTCTAACAGCACCCACCCAAGTCGCCAGCTGCCCCCCAGTGAGGCAGTACGACCCTTAGTGGCAAACCCTTGAACGGATCAAGGCCCGAGGCACAGCCAGAAATGTCAGGCAGCGTCCCCTGTGCCCGGCTGCTCTCTGCTCGTCTGCCCAGCCCAGGGGCGACCGCAAACTACAATAGTGGGAGGCTTGCGCTCGTTAGCCCAACGTGGGTTTTTATCATCATTAATGCCATGGAGCAGGATGCTTGTATTCCATTGCTGGCAGACTGGATGGTGCCACTGAACATTTCGGTGATCGTTGGGTCACACACGTGTGACTCGCCCTGGGGGACAGGGTCGCGGTTTCTCAGGAGCACGTTGCTTCTCATTAACCGGCAGATTGCGATCAAAGAGGTACGAGCCGACAGCATGGAGGAGAGTATCCAGAGACAAGGTGGCGGCACAAAGGCAATGAAGAAACGTGGCCACGTGGAGTTGCCGTAAAACTGGGGGAACGTGTGGTCACCGACAGGGAGCTGGCTTGACGACAGGGACTCAGAAAGTAGAGCTGGAAACACGTCCAAAGGGAGGCACGAGGAGGGGGCGTCCCCCTGAGCTATCACCGGGCGTTGCTCTTGAGGCACCTTTTCTGGGCTGCCACCTGCACGCCAGGAACCTCGCCCCCATCATTGCATTTTATCCTCACCCTCCCCGATGAGGTGTGGGTGCAGCCATCGCACCCATTTTACAGAAAAGAAAGCCTGAGGCAACACCCCCCGGAAGTGGTGGGGCCGGGCTGTACTTTCAGATTCGCGTTCTGTCAGACGTGGTCATAAGTGCTCAGCAGGAGAGAAACCTGCCGGGGTTGCCAGTTTCACCGCGAGGGGTTTTGCAGAAATAAACTGCAGTTTACTTGGGAGTCCGGTTCTATGACCCGGTGGAGAACCAGTGTCTGGGCTTTATCCTGTGCATAGAGGGAGATGCAAACCCAGCCTGCTTATGCGGTTGCCTGTGACCTGAGAAAGGGCTGTGCGATCATTGGAGCAAGTCCCTAGGAGAGGCCGGCCCAGAACACAGCCGGTAGGATTTCGCCGAGTACCTTCTCGGTGCCTAGCACTGCCACCAGCGTGAAGGAGAACCCTGTGCTGAGGAGGGCACACGCTTTATAGTTAATGCTCCTGAGGTCTGAGGGACAGAAACCCAAGGTAAATGGACCTTAAACAATAAGGAAACTTACTGGCTCATGAAATTAAAGAAGCCCAGGATAATACTTTGGCTTCAGGCACAGCTGTATCCAGGCACTCAGCTCATGTTGGAGGCATCTCAGGTCTGTACTTTCTTTACCAAGGCAGCCACTGGAGGCCCCACGCTGACATCCTGCCTCGAGAAGGAGAGAGCACTTCCTTCCTGATAGTTCCGGCCGAAGTGCAGCCGAGGGCTCCAGCCCCAGCCCCGAGCCAGGCGTCCCCTGTGCCTATGAGATGCCATGGTCTCACTGGCCACTCCTCGGCTACCTCCTTAAGCTGGGTGGTGGAGTGAGTGAGCATCACCCACACCACACGGAGTAAGAGAAGGAACGGGGCAGTTGCCAGAGGGGATCTGAGGGGCTGGGTTTGGAAGGTGGGGGAGCGTAGCTGGCGAGGAAAAACGAACAGGTGTTCACCCCACAGCCCTTGCCCTTGAGGAACTCCCTGGTGGGTGGCAGGGGAGCACAAGGCCACCTATTTATAACTGCACCAGAGGAAGCAGAAAATGGCCATGTGCTCCAAGAGGACCGAGGGAGGGGTAGGGAAGATGTGGCTGCCCTGGGTCACCCCTGCACAACCCGTCCCGGAGGACACTTAGTGATTCTGGTCACTCAGCTTCATGAAAGATGTCATCATGCCTGACAGACTCACAACAGAGCAAGGGCTGGAGTGCTGGGGAGGGGCGCCGGGGGGGCCCAGTCGGTTAAGTGTCTGCCTTCGTTCGGCCCAGGTCAGCATCTCGCTGTTTGCGAGTTCGAGCCCCACGTCGGGGCTCTGTGCTGACATCTTAGAGCCTGGAGCCTGCTTCGGGTTCTGTTCTGTGTCTCCCTTTCTCTCTGCACCTCCCCTGCTCACGCTCTGTCTCTCACTGTCTGTCTCTCAAAAATGAATAAACATTAAAAAAAAAAAATTTAAAAAGAGAGAGAAGGAAGGGGAGAGCTGGCATCTGACGGGGCTTGGCATGGACCAGTCCCTGAGCTGGAGCCTCAGCCGGATACCCCACTCCATCCTCATGACATTCCTAAGAGGTGGAGGCATTCTGGGGCTCATTTTGCAGAAGGGGAACAGGCCCCGGGGGTGGCGGGACTTGCCCAAGGTCACACAAGCCAAGGAACCGGCAGAGCCTCCCCCGGGCGGAGCACTGTCCCCCACAGTCTGCCACTTCCCCCCACGCGGAGGGGGGATGCTGACAGCCTAAAGGGCGAACACCCGAGCCTGCGAGCACCCAGGCTCTGGGAGGAACAGCAGGCAGTCTGCATCACTGCCCTTCGCCTCTCCATCCTTCAAGGCTAGACTCAAACGCCACCACCTCCAGGAAGCCCCCAGGTGGGAGCCCCCGCTCTGCTAGCTCAGAGCCCCCGTGGTATGCTAGCCTGGCGAGGAGACAAGAAACAGTGGCTGGGAGATGCACTCGGGACCAGAATTTAAATCCTGGCTGCTTCCTGGGCTCTGTGACCTTGGGCAAATTCATCTATAAAACAGGCCAATGGTAGGACCTTAATCCCAGGACCGGTGAAGGATTAGGCACCCAGGTGTCATTTGAATGTTAAACACACCTTCTCCCTGAGCTGACCTCCGGGTAATCCTTGAGTGTCCCCTGGGGTGACTGAGATCCAAGGGCCGCTGTGGCCAGCCTGGTCACACAGCGGCCACAGCTCTCTGAGACCAAGGTGGTTCAGCCATTAACCCCGGCACAGTCACACCCAGGTGACTGCCCCTGGAGCCTGGCTGAACCCTCTCGCCAGCTGGCCCCCTGCGTGTGCCCTGACCACCCCCTCATGTCCCCCGCCACACTCCCTCATGACACCCGGTGCTAGCTAAGGGTGTCCTGCCTCCTCAGGGTGGCCCCACAAGTCGCTACTGGCTAAGACAGGAAGGGTTCCTGTGATGGGCACTGCGTCCACGGCGGCTGTTAGGATACACACACATCCATGTTTTCTCTCCCCTGCTAGACCTTGGGCGCCTTGAAGCCGCCGGTTCCAGAAAGAAGTATGGAGAGAATGCCACTCCGCATGGACCCCGTGCCCGGGGGTCAGAGTCTGGCGGTCAGAAGGGAGAATAAACAGACACACAGACAGAACCTGTAGGGTGAGGCAGTGAGCCACAGGAGAATAGAGCGTGATGGGGCACAGGTGGCAGGGGCTCTGTCTTCGACAGGGCAGGAGCTGAATCTGATTATCCTCAGTCGTCTACACCGAGGGCAGCTTTTTATGCAAAGCAGGCTATCAATTAAAAACAAAAAAACAAAAACCAAAACCACCACTTTTCTTTGGTGCCGCCTGACTATCGCCGAAGGCTCAGCTGCAGTAGGGAGTTCCTTTAGAGATCCCTTTCACACTCTCGATAATTATCTCCCCATTTATCAGTTTCGTAAATCCACATTTTCATAAATCGTCCCGCTTAAATACAGAAGCGCACACACGAGTGCGAGTCCCAGATCCTGGGTGACGGATGCCACCATAGCCACCAGGATAGCATCAGGAGACAGGGTGGTCTCCGGAGGGAGGTCGAGGCCGGCAGTCTGTGGCCCGGTGCTCAGACTTTCCACTCTCTGGGCCTCCCGGGGCTCAGGCTCCCCGCGCTCTCTCCCTGGGGGCTGCCGGGCGCCCGCTGAAACCTCCGACTGTTTGCTCCAGAGACTCCCAACTATTGCTGTGTTTGGAAAGCGTCTCTTAGTTACTTGTGTTTTCCTTCTGTTTTATGCTGTTGCCCGCCCGACAATCATCTCCCAGGCTTCCAAGCCTGGCAGGAGATAAGAAGTCGGTAATAAATGTTCCTGCCGCGATTGTTGAAAAGATGGATGTGTCAACAGCTAGAGAAACATTTAAAAAGCAAACGAAGAAATCGCCCATAATGCCACCACCCTACCTCAACAGCTAATTGCATTCTCACGTTTATCACCTCCCACTCTGGGTCCACAGACACACTTCTTTCCAACTTTGCACTTGACCACACACATACCGTTTTGATTCTGCCTTTTTCGCCCTCCACCGATCAGAAGCAGTTCCTCGTGTTTGGACACACTCTACGCAATGATGTCAGCTGCGTGAGATCTCAGGTTCTGCTTCCCCGGTTTTGGACATTTGGGTTTTGTTATGACCAAGCACCGACCATTGTTCCTGGTCAAGAATGATTTGGGGCGCGTGGGTGGCTCTGTCATTTAAGCGTCCGACTTCAGCTCAGGTCACGATCTCACAGTTTGTGGGTTTGAGCCCCACCTCGGGCTCTGTCCCTCTATCTCTCTCTGCCCCTACCCTGCTCACGCACATATGCGCACTCTCTCTCTCAAAAAAAAAAAAAAAAAAAAAGAATGTCTTGCCGAAATGGGCTTACTGGGGAAAGACCAAGCATATGGCATTTTTCTCTATTTTCATATTACTTTCTGAGAAGGTTCTGTGAGTTACCAGCAATGTCTAAGTTTGCCCGTTTCGGCACCTGGCTAGCTTCAGAGGTTGTCTTTGCTGTGGTAGAGACTTGAGTCCGATTGCTTACGTTTTCATCCTAGCCCTGCCACCGTACCAGCTGTGTGGCCTTGGGCAAATGACTCAACTTCTCTGTGCCTCCCTTCTCTTATTTGTTACCTGGGGACAATAAAAGTAATTACCCCATAGGGTTGTTGGGGGAAGATTAATGCCTTAATACAGTCAATGCTTATTATTCACGTGTTCCCTGAATACAAATTCACCCACTCCCTGAAATTTATTCGTAACCCCAAAGTCAGTATTTACAGAGCTTTTGTGGTCATTGAAAGGCACGTGCAGAGGGGTAAAACATTTTCATTGTGCGACACACACGTTCCCAACTTTGGTAGAACGCGGGACCGCTCTACCTTCTTGTTCCAACCCTTTCCCCCCAAAACAAAGCGTCTTTTTCGCAGTATACTCAGTGCCCTGTTTTCCACATTTTCATGCTTTTTGTTGGTGATTTTGCTGTTTTACACTGGCCCCTGGGCCTGTTGCTAAAGTGCCGTGTAGTGTGCCCAAACGCGAGAAGGCTATGATGTCTCTTAAGGAGAAAATAACACGTGTTGGACGAGCTTCCGTCAGGCCTGAGGTAGAACACTGCTGTCGGCCGTGAGTTTGATGTCAGCGCATCAACTATGCGTTAAATAAGGTGCCTTTAAAGCGAAACTCACGTACAGCAAGGTTATGTACTGATCGGTCGATGACAATGCTGCGATGGAGGCTCACGGGAACCAAATCCCGTGTTTTGCCCTAGGGACAAAGTTTCTTTAGTCACTAACTCAGTGTTTGCGGTGACTTTACGGAGCAAAACTACCGCCAATGACGACCATCAGATCCCATATCTGCACTGCATTTAGAACAGAGTTTGGCACCTAGTACGCACCCTCCAGGTGATTGCTATTTCTATATTTTAAAAACATTTACATTTCGCTACTTTGGTAGGAACTTATTTAATCACAAAGGGGATGCACGCTTGTTGTCGTGTGGTTTGATCGCGTCGCTTCCCGTGCGGAAATAAATCTGGTTGACGCGGGAGGGCGCAGAGGCGTTTGTGGAGGCCCTGGGGTTTGGAGCCGGGAGCGGCTCCAGGGGCAGGGGACGGGGATGGCGGGGGGGGGGGGGGCTGACAAGGTTCCCGCATGCTCTTTATGGCACTACAGTATAGTTGGGAAAGACCCAAGGCTTTCAAGAAAACTTGAACTAGAGGCCAGCCATGTTCACGCCGAGACCCTTTCAGCCAGAGGGTATGATAATCCTATCACTAATCTTTTTTTTTTTTAATTTTTTATTTCAACGTTTATTTATTTTTGGGACAGAGAGAGACAGAGCATGAACGGGGGAGGGGCAGAGAGAGAGGGAGACACAGAATCGGAAACAGGCTCCAGGCTCTGAGCCATCAGCCCAGAGCCCGACGCGGGGCTCGAACTCACAGACCGCGAGATCGTGACCTGGCTGAAGTCGGACGCTTAACCGACTGCGCCACCCAGGCGCCCCCCTATCACTAATCTTGAATTAAAGCCTACATTGATATGTTCTTTCACTGCATCGGAATATAAGATGATGACACTGGGGATACCAGGGGTGAGCGTCTGAGAACGCATTTGTTTCCCGAAGCAAAAGGAGTCAGTCTGCCTGGTCTGACGCGGGATGTTTCCTGCTTCGTAGATATTCTAGGAAATCTCTCGCAAAGGCTGACGACCTGAGACCCAGCATGTTTTGTTGCGCGCTGGAGAAGGTGCCACCATCCACACAACGTGGAGATGCATGAGGTTGGGGTCTCCCAGGAAACCCAGGCTGTGTGGAGGCAATGCGCACACATGCCTGCTTTCTGTCTCAGCCACCGCGGGGCAAGGGCGACGTGTGCCTTCGTCACCGCTAACCTGCGCTTGAGCCTCAGAACGAAAGCAGAAACACCCCTGCCGGGCCCGAAATAGTCTCCCCCTTGCTGCTTCTCCGTGTGCGTAATGGGCCTCTTCCAGGCTGTTTGTCGATGAACAGCTGGGCACCCGCCACCCGGCCTCCCGATTCGAGATGCTTTGCCCATCAGAGTGGTAGTTCTCTCCCCCCCGCGTCGGGGGTGGGCGGCCCAGGCGCCTAGAACGAGGAACGAATGATCGTTTCTCTTCCAGGATACTAAAGCACTTGAGATCCAAGGACCCCATGCAGCTGAGACTGGAGCATTTGGAACAAGGCTTCTCCGTCTACGTCAACGGGGCCAACTCTGAGCTGAAGACCTCACCCCGGAAAGCTGTCCACTCCGACTTCACCAGAAGCGCCTCACACGCCGAGGGGACGCACGGTGAGCACTGGCCCGTCCGGCCCCTGCAACGCGCTAGCTCTTTCGGCACCGCGGACCCACATCCGATGCACGTGAACATCCCAGCAAATAACTGGTTAACCTACATACACACTAACTATGCCCTCTTGGCCAGAAAGAGAGCAGGAGAGTGAGAAAGAGAGAGAAACCCTTTTTTATTCCTTTTAAAGGGTCATCTTGGCCTCCATTACCCCAGGGCGAAGGTGGCCAGGGCAGTAAATTCCTGGCTTTTATGTTTCATAGTGCCAGTAATTGAAGGAAATGTCTAGGATAATTGAAGTGATACCCGATTTTCACTGGATCTGTCTTAACCTCAGTACCTAACCCCTGTGTGATATTTGATTCCCACTGTTCATTTCTGAATTTAGTTAATCCATGCTCCATGTACTTTCAACAGATTTCATGTGTCCTGTCCTGAAAGCTGAGGGGGGCAATACGAGCACCCCACCGAGGGGCTGGCCCAAAACAGGCACCAATAAAAATGACCTGGCGGTAAAATGAATGAAATGGCAGAGCACACGGGGTCGGGTCCCAATTTGGCCACGTGCCTTTGTTTCCTCATCTTTCAAATGGGACTAACAGGGGTGCCCATCCCCGGGGCGCCAGCGTGCCCTCCACGTTGGGCGGCTTTATCTGAGAAGCCGGTGTGCTACTGAGTTACAGGAAGGGCATTTGGAATGAGGCAGGGCTGGCTTTGAAACCTCTGGCAGTTGGGTCCTCTCTGACCCTCAGTTTCCTCTTCTATAAAATGGGAACAATCACGTCCACCTTGCGGGCTTGCCAGGAAGACTAACTGACATAAGAAATGTAAAATGTCCATCAGACAATAATCTTGATCTGTGTTGTTCTAATTCATTGCCTTACAGCTACGGTAGATTTCCCAAGCCATTAATAGACGGCAAAAGCCAAAACAACAGTGAAATAGACAGTGAAAGTCAAAACGAGGAGATAAAAGGCGAAAGTCATGTCCCCAAACCTTCCCCTAGGAGAGCCACTGCAGTTCAGCTTAGAGTTTAGAATGAGCTTCCTGGCCCCCAGGGCAACAAGGGGAATGGAATGATTCTTCTAGGTTTCACGGTTTCACGGACGAGGATTCTGGCCAGCCTGCTGCTAGTTGGCAGGTGCAGGCCTCTCCTGGTCCGGGTTTCAGGGAGGTGCAGGTAACGTTGTCTTTCTACTTGGGCCACAGCAGTAGTATCTTTACTCATTCAACAAATATATCTCCCCTCTCCTCTTTTACACAAACGCTGGCCGATTGTGCCCACTGTGTGTGCCCTGCTTCCGTATGTCGGAGATTTTTCCTTTTGTATATAGACCTGCCTGATTCAGCTGTGACTTACTACCCTTGCCCTTTTCGCTGAGCATTTGGCTTGTTTCCTAACGCCCTGCGGCTACCAATGGGACTACAGTGGCCCGCTCCACAGACGGGACTTTGGGCACCTGATGTGCGTTTTAGATGTAAGTCATGAATCTGCCTTGGGTGTGAGCTTGTCACAGGCGCCTCACCAAATCTCCTTCCCTCATGTCTGGTGCAGATTACGGGCGAAGAACCCTGTTTCGAGAAGTGGAAGAAGCTTTAAGACGCAACTCGCGGACAGCCCCTTCCAAAGTTCAGCGCCGAGGATGGCACCAGGTCAGGAAACCCTGGGGGGAGAATCAAGACACATGGCCCCAGCTCTTGTTTTAGAAGAAGGAGCAGGGTTATTGTGACAGAACCTTTCAGAATCCCCGCGGGCAGCGGTGGGGCTGGCCGGGCACCCTGCAGGTGGCCTCTTTGCATGCAGTCCTGGCCCCTGGGGAGTAGAGGAGACTGGGGACCTCCCAGCCCTCTCTCTGTGGCGTGATCCTCCCTTCCGGATGGGGTCACCCCAGCCCTACGCAGGAGGATCACGTGCACACTCTCAGCCCCCTTCGTGATGACTCGTTCATACAGCTTTTATTGAGCACCTACTATGTGCCGGGCATAGTCTTTGATGCCAGGGATGCAGTGGGTAACAAGGCAAAGCCCCTGCCCCACAGACCTGAGATGCCACTCAGGGCTGCTTGTTGATGGTGCTGACGCCAGCAGCTGGCGTTCTTGAGTGCCAACCAGGTACGAGCCGTGCTCCCGCGTGACTCCTCTCCTCTGTCCTCGCGGCGGACCTGCAGGGTAAAGTTCCAATGTTCTTCCTCTTCTAAGGGAGCCACAGACTTGAATGGTCAGAAAAGCTAAGTGAGCTTTCTTCTAAGGTCAACCAGAATCAAGACTCCAGCCCAGACCTTTGCTCCAAGCGTGGTGTTCTTGCCCACGTGGTCCTTATCTGGCTGCTTGCCTGAGATCAGTGCTTCTCAACCCCCACTGCACGTTCACACCACCTGGGGAGCCCCCCCCCCCCCCAGGGATTCTGACTCACCTGGTCTGAGGTGTGGCTTAAGCAATGGTATGTAATCCTTTTCAATCCTGTGTACTGCCCTTAGAACCTTCTGCACAGGGCTGTCTGTGTGGGTCTATAGTAAATACTTCCATAAGCTTTGCTGGCCCATCTGTGCGATAACCCTGTAGGTCTGTAACTATCCTCATCATGCCATTGGTGAAACTGAGGCCCAGAGAAGTGAGGTGACCTTTTCAGGGTCACACAGCCGGTAAGGGAGGAGGGTAGGCTGACGTTTGAACACTGGACCCGTGACCCCCAAACCCACTGGTCTCCCCTGCCTTTGTGGGTCTGTGATTAATTGTGGCTGGGTGTTCCTGCCGGGGCTTGCTGAGCAAGGCCTCCAGGGCACGCAGCCTGGAGGCCTCCTTTTGTCCCCAGCAATGAATGTTAATTTCTCATTAAGGAGGCCTGTCTCCACTTCCCACTTCAGACCCTCCTTCTGGTTGTTCTGAGTGCCTTCTATTATCAGGAGCCATATTTGCATCTTAGACTGTGACTTAATGGCCGGCCCCAGAGCCTGTGCAATTTAAAAGACTTGGCCTAAGATTAATTAGCATCCCTCCCCAGCCTCTCCCTGTGGTCCCACACTTCACAGGGCCCAATCATGGCTAATTTCCTAGCTTCCCGATGCCGTGAAGGCTGTAATTGTCCTTCTGTACCATATCAGTCAGGGGTCAGTCACTGCCTAACAGTAGAGACCATTCAGGCCGTTTTAATCAGAGATGGATGGAACACAGGGAGTCCGGTGCTCACAAGGTCTCTGTGTGCAAGAGGAAGGGGTCCGAGTGGGGCCTTCTCACACAGCCTGTCAGGAGAACTGCTCCCTAGGGCCCAGTGGGGAAGGTGGGGGATCCGCATCAGGGCTGGGTCACCTGAGCTGTCAGCCGGGAACCAGGTGGCTCCCACCACGACCGATGGCCTCGAATGATGCCGCGCCTGCTAGAGCAACGATGCCCGTAGCCTGTCCGGCCAGGCTGGGACACTTGCAAAACCCCTCACCTCGGCACTGTGGTTAGCACAGAATCAGCCGGCCTGTGTCCCCTTGTTTCCACCTCATTGCCGCGTCCCCTGCCTTGTATGAAGTCATCGGATCGGCTGCACCCAGCTCGCATCCAGAACCCCACGGAAAGGGTATCTGGGAAACACGGGCTGACTTTCCGGCCTCTCCTGAACGTAAAGCCACCCTAGGAGGGAAGTGGAATGGGTCCTGGGGGTCAGCCCACCCCCACCACTACCGTGCCTTGGGGACCACTCCTCCAAGATGGACAAACCAGAGAACGTGCGGAAGTGGTGAGAGGGGTAGAAGCCATGTCTCGAGACAAATCATCCTTTCATTTAAAAAGATGTATTACCACGGGCCGGGCACTGTGTGGGGCTCCGGGGTTCGAAACAAAAAAAAAAATTAGATAAGCCTCTGGTCCTGCCCCAGGAGTCCCCCCCTCGGCTATAAAGGCCTGGGGACCGCCCAGCCTGCAAGACAGACGTGGTGACTGTTCCAGGCATATGGCCTGCTGGACTTGGGAGCGCGCAGCTTGAGGCCTGTGGGCTGAACTTGTCCCCCGGAGGGTGTTTTTTGGACTCACACAGTTTAAAAAAGACTTCGTCACTTGCTAACATTTAAATTCAGAAAGTTCTTCTATATTTTTAAAAAGCTAGATTCCTACTTCCCTGGGAAAATGGAAAGATCTGGCCCTCACGCCGGCCTCCCCTCTCCGCGAGGCAGCCTTTAGCAGAGAAGAGTAGCGGTGGACCCCCACCCCCCCTCCACCCCCCACCGTAAGGCTGGGCAAAGTGCTTCTGTTTGCCGCAGTCCTCACCACTCCCCTTAGCGCCCCAGAGCCGAGGCCCAGTGGCAGGTGTGGTGGCCTTGTGCTGCGGCCACTGGTGCTCTCACACGGGGTGGGGGTGGGGGGGGGCTTCCTGCCTTTCCATTTCCAGCCTGGCTCCCTGGGGCGTCTGAACCTGTGTCCCCTGGAGAGACGGGAATGGGCTTTGGGGTCAACCTACTTCCTAGCTGTGTGCCCGGAGCTGGCCGTGTGAGGTCTCTGAGCTTTGCGTGCAAACCTCCCAGGCCGCCCGGAGGGAGTGCGGGCGGAGTGTGTGTCACAGGGGGTCCTTCAGCTTCGGGGAGGAGCACCAGGCGGCAGGGGACTGACAAATCCAAGGAGGCGTTTAAGCGTACCGACTCAGGAGCCCCGTGGCCATACGTCAAAGCCCGGGCTCCACCTCCTAGCTGTGTGGCCCTGGATAAGCTGCTCAACCTCTCTGTGCCCGTTTCCTCGTCTGCAACTGGGGTTAAGAATGGCACCTGCCTGGTAGGGTAGTTTATGAGGACCGGGTGAGCCAGTGTCTGTGCAACGTGGCCAGCAGCGCCCGGCACAGAGGAAGCAGCCGGTAGACGGTCACGAACGTCACTGTCGTCCGTGGGGGGCAGGTGCCAAGGGCGGCTCTGCCTGGAGACCTCAGGGCTTCGCTCCAGGGTGTTCCTTCGTTTATTCAGTCCGTTGTTCATTCGGTGACCTCTACCGAGCACCTGTTCCACTGTGGACACGGACAGGCGCTGGGGTCCGAGCCGTGACCGCATGCCGAAGGATGCCCGTGGGGCCAGGTGGCTGTAGGAGGACCAGGCAGGAGGCTTTGAAGCAGGCCTTTGTCTCTCCAGCTTTCGGCTCTTCATCCCCCAGCCTCCACCTCGCACCTTCCCTAGCTCCGAGAGTCCCCTGGTCACCTCAGCTTCCTCGACCCATCCCTTCGCGTCTTCTCCCTGCCAGTCTTTGTTGAAATTGTCCAGGACAATGCCTCAGTTGGTCAGCCTGGACCAGATGCCCACTCCCGCCTTGAGAGGGTGTGAGCGGAGGTGGGCCGGGTCGGATGACGCAAAGCCTGCCCGCCCCAGAGCTGTTCCCTGAGCGGGGCCTGGGTCCCCTAGCTTCTTGTCCAGGACAGTAAGTAGCCCCAATGTACCGACTGCACCAGGAAGAGGCACTGGTTGGGTTTCCTTTGGCCCCAAGAAGTGGGGTTAAGTAGAAAGTTTCTCCATGGTAGGAAGTACACGGGGACGGATTTTCGGGTGCGAAGGATAGAGAGGAAGGCAGTCTTTCCCTCAGCCCTTTGGGTGGGCCTTACCATCCTTGGAGGCAGCCAGAGGTGGGTGGCGGTGAGGGAAGCAGAATCCCCGGTGGCCAGTGGTGGCCAGTCCTCAAAAGCCACCCCGTCAGGAGAGGCACTACAGCCCTGTCCCAGTCCTGGGGTTTCTCCCGTATGGCTGTGCCCAGAAGGAGGGATGGTGGGGGGCACACAGGCACTCGGTGTGTCATCTCAGACCACAGCCGGGTCAGCCGGGGACACGGCGGCCACAGTCTCCCCCTGGCCAGCACTCTGCCTCCTCCCTGTGGCCCTCTGCACTCTCCAGCTTGCATCCAGCCACTTGTTCTGAGTGTTGCCTGAAATTCCTTTGGGTCACACGGCCCCTTCCGGGTGACCAGGACTTCATGTCTTCCTGTAGAATAACCTCCCTTCTTAGGGGCTTGCCCCCCGCAACTAGGAAGCACTTTGGGGTCGAGATGCCCCCGCTGGAAGGGGCTCCCCCAGGCGCACGGGCTCAAGGATCCCTGTGCCGGAAGGTCACCGGCTCATCCAAACGCTGGCCTGGAGCCTGACCGGCTGCACCTGTAAAACCCGTCCCGGGACTGAGCTGCCACCTGCCCCGTGGACCGGCCTGGAGGTGATCAATGGGCTCCTGTTGGCACCAGTCTTTATCCCCCACCACGTCTCAGCCTCAGATCTTTCTCCTGCTATCATCGGATTAAGATTTATGGCTTCCTCAGCCTTGTAATACTTGGGTGGACAGCGGCCTAATCAACAGAGCTGTCGTTTACCAAAATGCTGTCAGATTTGATGAACGTCATGGGCTCTTAGCATTAAATTGGTAGTGAAGGGATTGGCCTTTCAGCAATTTACGGTGGGGGTGGGCTTTCCTTCAAGGCCCGGAAAGCAAGTTCATTGCCCTTTAAAGCAAAGGCTTAGCTCTCACTCCACTGTCGTATCCGGGTTCCTGTTGTGGGCTAGGCAGCTGCAGACACCTCCAGGAAAGCTCATGAGTCAAAACGTGAAGCCCTTTCCTTTGTTTTCCTGTGTCTGAGTTTTGAAAACCCCTGCAGAGAGGACAATAAATGAAACAGCCCATAAAGCATCGGCTTTTACGGCGACCTTGCACGACACACACTGTCAGAGTGTCGAGCGCTGTTATTTGTAAGAGATCAGGAAAATCCGGGAAGAACATATCAAATAGGGTATATTTCCTCCCCACCCCAAACCTGCCTGTCAGTATCTTCGGAGCTCTCCTACCTCTAGAGGGAGCCGTTTGCATACCACACAACCTGAACAACCATACAGGGCAACCCCTAGCCTCCGTCTATCTTTCGCATCGACAGCTGCTTGCACGCGCATCTCTTAGAATGCTTTGCTAAGGGGGCGGCAGATACACACAGATAACTCTGAGCATGGCCTTGGGTTGCGCGTGGCTGAGGGCAAGATCTGCCCTTGGGCGGGCAAACTGGAACATGGGTGTTCGGGTGTCAGGGCTTTAAAATCTCGTCCCGATGCGTGGCTGATACCACCAGGGTCCACCCGGGTCTGGGCGCTGCCAGGAGGCAGGAGAAAGCAGCCACTTACAAACACCCACTCCAGGTAAAGCAACGTGCCAGTTGGGGAGCCAGCCAGGCGCTCGGGCATCATGCTCACCAGCACGTGAAGGTGGGCGGCGGGGAGCGGGCGCTGCCCGGGGGCTGGGTTGGAACCCTCCAGCCTCGTGCGCTTATTGGGAGGTGGGCGTCTTGATGTGGGTGAGGCAGCTCCCCCTTCTCCCCCAGTGGTGGCGGAGGTACAGCCCCGGGGCTGTGGTGGGAGAGCAGGCCAGATGGGAGACTATTTATTCCCCTCCGGCACCCACTCGGCATTTAAAACTCTTCCGGGACCACATTAATTTTGTTACGTGTTGCTTCAGAAATGCGTTCTTCTGTTGCATGTTCTGTGTGAACTCCTTGAGACCAGGGCACGGGTTGTAATTTTTTTTTTTTTTTTTACTATCTCGACACGCTTCCAGAACCTTGTATGCAGTCCGTGTTCAGTAAGGGCTTGCTGGTTAAGTGCCTTAATGCCTACTGCAAACCCATCTCCCGACCTCTCGGCCAGGCGAGCAGTTGTGACAAGCTCCTGGGAAGGGAGAGGGGCGCTTCTGGGAAAAGGGAGGATAGGGAGGCTGCAGAGGACAGAGGCATGCCGGGGCTCTCCTCCTTGAATGCTGGAGCTCTTTCTCATATTTATACTTCAGATCAGAGCAGCAAAACTGCATTAATGCCAGCTCTCTCACTTGGCAGCGGGAAATCCCAGTTCAGGTATGGCTGGATCCAGGTGCTCAGACAGTGTTGCACGGCCCGTTCTCCATCTCTCAACTCTGCTTTTCCCTATGCTGCTCTGTGTGGCACCAAGGTGACCACTGTCAGCCTCCACCGTGCATTCTGTCACCTGGTCGCTCTGGGCCAGCAGGATCTAATGCTCAGATCGCCCGAGCCTGTCCTATGCTCCAGCCCCCCGGGGACTCAGTTCCACATGAACACTTGGACTGGGGGTGGGGAGGGGGAGGATCTCCCAAAAGAAAATCAGGGTGCCTTTGCCAGAAGACAGGGGGGTGCGTGCAGCACAGACGGAAGCACCCGCCGCAAGACTTCACAGACCTCACGCTGCTCAGACTGGAGTGTGCGTGCGAGCCACCTGGGCTCTTGTGAAAATGCAGATTCCGATTCGCAGCTCTGGGATGGGGCTTGAAATTCTGCATTTCTCACAAATCCCCAGGAGAAGCCAATACTGCTGGTGCCTGGACCTTCCACGAGTAAGGTCCTCGGTCTGAGTCCTCCCTTTCTGGATAAAGGAGCAGAAGCCTGTAGAGGGGCCAGGCTGTGTGCCCCATGCCTAGTGCTCCTCCCTCCCAGCCCCTTCCCCCCCCCCCTCCCCCCTCCCCCCCCCCCCCCCCCCCCCGTCCCCCCCCGGCAGTCGCCCCCCCCCCCCCCCCCATCTCTGCCTCTCTCACTCTCCATCTCCATTTCAGCATTTGGGTGTTATTGAGTGGATCCTGAGGAGTGGGGAGGAGCCCGGCCTCCCCAGCGTCTGTGGTAGAAAATCCATCTTGGAGATGAACTTCAAACCCCTTTCGGGTTCATCCTGGCCCCAGGCAGGAAAGCTCCCAGGTGTCTCCTGGCCTGGATCCTGCTTACCCTCCATAGGTCTGCTGACACTAAGAAATGCTCTGAGAGCAAGCTGACGCAGCCTGGGAGGCAGCGAGCTCACACTTGGTGTCGGAGCCTGGGGGGCATCGCTAAGTGACAGGATCGCCTATGGAAGGAAAAGTGTCCCAAAGCACCTTCCTTCGGCACCTCTGCGTCCTCCCTGTTCCCCAACAGGGGCCCCCTATCTGCCTTTTTCAGCCTCTTTCTCTCTGTCTCCTTTTTTAAACTTTCTTTCCAAGATCTTTTTCTCACATGATCTATAGCCAAGCCCCTGCCTACTTTTCTGAGTGTTAGGTGTTCTCAGGAAGTTCCTTCATTTCCTTCCATCCTGTAGCCCAGGCCGGGCACATTTATCCTTCACGTGCCTTTTGGGGGGCATTATAGTGTGGTGGTTAGTACTGGGGTCCCTCAGCAAACTACAGCTCTCGGGCCAAATCTGGCCACAGCCTGTTCTTATAAATAAAGTCTTTTGGGGACACAGGCATGCCCATTCGTTCAGGCTTTATCTGTGGCTGCTTTCCAGCTACAATGGGTCAGCTGAATTCTGGTGACAGAGACCATATGATTGGCAGGACCTAAAATCCTTAGTCTGTGCAGGAAACACGGACCCATCCCTGGTTTGGAGCGAGGCCTCTGGAGCTGTGCTGCTGGGGTTCGGATCGAGGCTCTGCGGCTTCCTCACTGTGCGACCTTGGGCAAGGGGCTTGTGGCCTTGTGCCTCGGTTTCCCCCTGGGGTTGCTATGAGGACCGAACGGGCAAAGGCACGCGAAGGGCTTGGAGGGGCGCTCAGTGTGCATTCAGTGTCGTGACGCATAATGTGAACGCGCTCACGGGGGTGGGCGGGGTGGGGCGGCGTGACCGTGGGTGAGAAAGGTGTTCGGTCCTACCCAGTGAGAGTCCCGCAGGGCAGTAAGGCTCCGGCATCATTTTCTTCATCATCAAGTTCACGAGGCTGGTGGGGAAGCCGAGTCTCACAGAGGTGGAGGCTTCTCACCCAGGGCGTGAGGGGAAAGGCATGAATCACCGTCCCCAGGCACCTGGGTGGCTCAGTCGGTTAAGCGTCAGACTCTTGGTTTCGGCCCAGGTCATGCTCTCACAGCTCATGAGCTCAAACCCCACACCGGGCTCTGTGCTGACAGTGTGCAGCCTGCTTGGGATTCTCTCTTTCTCCCTCTCTCTCTGCCCCTCCCCTGCTCACTCTCTATCTCTCTCTCAAAAAAAAAATAAACTTAAGAAAAAATAAAATAAATCTCTGTCCCGCAGCGGGGTAACGAACCCAGTACGCATGGCTTGGCCGACCTGTCCCTCCTTTTAGTAGCCAGGCCTCACTCGAGTGAGGCCCGGAGCGGGAAGTTTAAGGAGGCCCTCACTCTTGGATTCGTGCACATGCAGGGCACCCAAGAGGGAACCCCTTCTTCTTCTTTTTTTTTTTTATTTTATTTTTTATTTTTTAAAATTTACATCCAAATTAGTTAGCATGCAGTGCAACAATGATTTCAGGAGTAGATTCCTTAGTGCCCCTTCCCCATTGAGCCCATTCCCCCCCCTCCCACAACCCCTCCAGCAACCCTCAGTTTGTTCTCCATATTTATGAGTCTCTTCTGTTTTGTCCCCCTCCCTGTTTTTATATTATTTTTGTTAAAAGGGAGCCTTTCTTAAATGTTGCTCCCTGGGTGCCTCCCTTGTGCCACCCTGGCCCCAGCCCTGAGAAGTCCCGAGGAAAACCCAGGGTCTCCTAAACTTATTTGATCACAAAGCTAATATGGGGGGAGCGTAACACCCACTGAAACTCTACTGAGAAGGTAGTTCAAGCTAAAAAGTTGGTGAAAAATTCTGAACACCCTTTGTGCAGTAGGAACCAGTAAAGACTTTTTTTTTAATTTTTTTTTTTTTTTTACTTTTGAGAGAGAGAGTGCACGCGTGCATAAGCAGGGGAGGGGCAGAGAGAGAGGGGAAGAGAGGATCTGAGGTGGGCTCTGTGCTGACCGGATAGATCCCGACGCGGGGCTCGAACTCATGAACCGCGAGATCATGACCTGAGCCGAAGTCCGATTCTTAACCGACCGGGCCACCCAGGCGGCCCTCCAGTCAGGGCTTCTGAGCAGAGGTGGCATGACCCATGCAGACCTACCGCCTCGCCATCAGCCGCTAACGTGCTCACCCCTCTGAGGAATCCAGATGCTCCTCCCATCACGTCTGAAGCAATCTGACTTTTTCTGTATAGAAATCTGTGCAGATCAGGACGGAAGCTGGCCCACGGCTGCACATCGAGCCGCCTCTGGACCCTTCTGAAGATTTTGAGCCCCGTGGGGATATGACCGTCAAGACCAAGGACGCTTCCGGGGACCGTCCACAGGTAGGACTGGCCTCAGCTTGTGCTGTAGCGGCTCTGGGGGCACTTTGTGACAGCTGTTTATTCCTTCCCTCCTTCTGTCCCTAAGTTCCTTCACTCTTGTCCTCCCTTTCCCACGCCGTGACGAGCACCCAGGCCAGGCCCCATGCTGGATGTTCCGCCAGGCACACGGTGTCCAGGTGTCAGAAGGGCTGGCGTCCGACCCCAAAGAGGCAACAGCCTACAGTCCCTCCACCGCAAGAGCTTGCTGAGGGGTGGGGCAAGGCGTGGTGGGCCCAGGAGAGAGGGTATCCGGGAAGGCTTCCTAGAGGAAGCGACACTTGCCGGGGTCCGGGAGGCTGGGGCGGAGTGTGAGGGGAGGCGAGCAGAGCTGATACTCAGCCTGGCCACAACTGTATGTATGCACCTGCTGTTAAAGATTTTGAGTATCACCCCACCCCCTGGGGCAGCAGAAGCCACACACGGAAATGCCCAGAAGCCCCACAGAACTGTAGCTCAAGAGTCCACAGCCGCGCAGCTGCTGATGAGGCAGGCAAGGGGGCGTTTCAGTCCCCCCCTCAAACCGCCGTGTCACCTGTGAAATCCAGGGACCTCCGACAGTGCGTGCTGGGCTTCTATTCAGCAAGCGTTGGTTGGGCACCCACTTCGGAGCATCAGGCTCTGTCCCTGGCACCAGAGACACAGAAACAAACAAAACGCACGGGGGCCCTATTCTTAAGCAACTTATACTCCGGGGTGGGGGTGGGGGTGGGGGGTAGACAATAAAGAAGAGACCGAGATGGGAACGCAAACTGGCACAGCCACTCTGGAGAACAGTATGGAGGTTCCTCGAAAAACTAAACATAGAACTACCCTACGACCCAGCAATGGCACTACTAGGCATTTCCCCACGGGATACAGGTGTGCTGTTTCCAAGGGACACAAGCACCCCCATGTTTATAGCAGCACGATCGACGGTAGCCAAAATATGGAAAGAGCCCAAATGTCCATCGGTGGATGAATGGATACAGAAGATGTGGTGTATATATACAATGGAGTATTACTCAGCAATCAAAAAGAATGAAATCTTGCCATTTGCAACTATGTGGATGGAACTGGAGGGTATTATGCTAAGTGAAATTAGAGGAAGACAAAAATCATATAATCATTGTTGCACTCTATGCTCGCCAACTTAGATGTAAATTTTAAGAAATAAAAAATAAAATTGAAAAAAAAAAAAAGAATAGACCAAGAGATAAATAAAGCAATAATTGCAGATATGGTCATGTTCTGCGAAGAAAACAGGGGAAGGTGGCACAGCGTGGGAGAGAGGGCAGCTTCAGGCACGGCAGAGAGGGCGGGAAGGCCGCCTTCAGGTGTGACAGTTCAGCTGAAACCTGGTGGGAAAAGCATTGCAGGCAGAGGGAACAGCAAGCACGGACGACATGAGGCTCAGGCACAGCATGAGCAAGGTGGGAGTGTGGGGCAGACCAGGCAGGGCACGATGAGCCCCGGGCAGGGGAGTGGAGGGGGCTGTGAGGGGCGAGTCCAGATAGCTGGATTTTATTCTGAGGGCATCGCTTTTATATATAGAATGAGTGCATAGATCATCGCCATGTCTATATAGAAGCAAACTTATCGGGACGCCACAGGACAGAGGCCCCCGGGCCATCCCCCCGTCCCATCCACCGGGCCTTTGTTCCCCTGTGAGTGCAGGCTGCAGATTCAATAGCCTCCCTAAAAGAACAAAATCTTGCTTTTTGTTTAAAAAAAAAAAATTGTTTTTAATGTTTATTTGTGTGTGTGAGAGAGAGAGAGAGAGAGAGCATAAGCAGGGGAGGGGCAGAGAGAGAGGGAGACACAGAATCCGAAGCAGGCTCCTGGCTCCGAGCTGTCAGCACAGAGCCGGACGCAGGGCTCGAACTCACGAACCGCGAGATCACGACCTGAGCCGAAGTCGGAAGCTTAAGTGACTGAGCTACCCAGGTGCCCCCCCAAATCTTGCTTTTGAACGCCGCTCCCGTACCAAACCCTGCCTTTAAGAAATGCAAAGCACTCATAAAAGTGGGAATATTGTCCAGGAAACATTCTTGTGTTGTGTTTGCCTGTTTGTATTTCCTTCTTTGCTCGTAAAAGAAGGACCGGTAAAGAGCAAAGGGTTGCTTTGTTTCACATCCCTGCTGCAAAAGTCTAAAAGTGAATTGGAAATTCTGTCTTCCTGGAGGGGGCCTGTGGGGGGGGGGGGGGGCGGCGCTGTTTTTATGGACTTAACCCAGTGCCCTTGTTTCCTACCCAGTCCCTGTTAAAGGGATTTTACAATAGGCAACACTCTAGCGTGGGCTTTACTGCCTTTAACACCCACCTCCCATACCACAAACACAGCACACGCACTCACACACGTACACACTTGCTTTTGGAACAACAGAACGGCCCCCGGCTCAGGGTCTGAGCACGTGCCTCTGCCAACAGCCATCAGTTTCTGTTAGCTTGGGAGGCCGGTCTGTAGCCAAGTTCAGCCCGGTCCAGTCCCGGCCACGCCCCCGCCCCGCAGGGAATGTGTGCATGCCTTCGGGGCAAAAAGTGGGGTGGTTCCCTCTTCTCCTCTGGTACCTCCTGTTAAGTGAACATATATTCCTTCCTTTGCAAGCCCCCAGGCTGCCTGCAGCACAAGGCAGCCCGCCCCTCACCAGCTATAAGCTCCATTAGCATTCCTGGGTGCACACACCCTCTGAAGCAGCAGCATGGCCCTGCCCTGCCCGCCCTGCCTTGTCTCCACTGTGAGCGCTTGACTGTATTTCCTTCTTTCCTTTTTCTCCCCATCTTGAGGGGGCACTCTGTAAGGCTTCACAGTCAATTTCCCCTCGGAGTTATTTTCCTGCGAAGCGAAAGAGTGAAATGGTAACACGCGTTTTCGGCCGAGGCAGAAGCCTTAAGAAATGCAGTCTGAACTAGAGAGGAAAAAAAAAAAAAAAAGAAGAAAAGCGTGTGGCTAAATATATTCAGCCACCTCACACTGTTTGCAAGCGCAGCTCCGAGGCGGAGCAAAAGGAAATCCGCGTCCGCATGTGTACTTTTCGTCTGACCTTCACTGTTGAAACATACCAGCCTGTTTGCCTTCAATCATACCCTTGGTGATTTTCAATTTCTTGCGGGCTCCGAGTTCGCAGACCCGCATGCCGCAGACATGCTCCGTTGGCCTCAGCCCATTGACTTGCACGGTGTTTTCGAAAGAATTACTAGCTGACATTTAAGAATCAGGAGAGTCCATGTCAAAATGGGAATTTGGGGCTTCTCTTGAAAAATCCGAACGTTTGGGAGCCACATCCTTACGTGACAGCAGCGGTCGGAGCTGAGGAGCGGCTGTCCCCTTAGACAGGTGCGTGCACTGCAGGTGCCTGGTCCCCGCGACAGATCCCAGGTACCGTTCCACACACCGAAGATAAAACAGACAATAAACAATGTATCGGGGCGTCTGGGTGGCTGAGTCGGGTTGAGCGGCTGACTCTTTGATTTCGGCTCAGGTCGCGATCCCAGTGTTGTGGGATCGAGCCCTGCTTTGGGCTCCGCACTGAGCCTGGAGCCTGCTTGGGATTCTCTCTTTCTCTCCCTCTACCCCTCTTGCCCCCGCCCTGTCTAAAATAAAAAATAAAAGTTAAAAAAATAAAATTCAACCGATACAAAGAAAATAAAAGTCTTTTCATAATCCCACTGCCCCAGAGGTCATAGATGGGTGTATCCATCCAGAATAAAAGTTTCTTACACTCATTACATACGTAACGTATTGATTACATCCAAGAGGAGATGATTTATCTGGAATGTTCCAGTCCTGGCCCATCCCCAGTGAGTGGTGGTAATTCCTGAGTTTAGTTTTTTGATTTTTCCTGCGAGCACGATGGGTGATGGGAAGACTTGGCCGCCCCATCTTCTGGAATGCCTCCATTGTGTGGACCCTGGTGTGGGATGAACTGGATATTTGCCCACGATTACAATTCGATGTTTTAAAGTCATTGTTATTTGCTGACACATACAAACAACTGAAGACCTGTTCACAGCCTGTGTGCCCCCAGTAGGTCCACCACGTGTGGACTCTGCCGAGGCCCATGACGGCTCACCTATGGGAATCGTGGAGATTAGAGGGTGCCATCACTGGCCAGGCATCCCCCGTGGGAATCCCACCCGGTTCCCAGCAGGGAGGGCCCTGTAGCAAATCCCTCCAGTTTGCCATTCATTAATTTCAACGGCGAGGCTTAAAAAATGAAAGATTGTTTTTAAGCCCATCCCGTGGCTTGGGTACTTCTGTTTTGGATTACCATTTAAATAACTTTCAAGTGAGAACCATTTTTCCCTTTACTTTTTATAGCTGTTTCCACATACATGGGATTATATACCATCCACACTATTTGATACCCCACTTTCTTTATTCAGCAAGATGTGGAGGCCGTATCTCGGTACTCCCTGAGCCCAGTGTCTAGGTTGTTGGTGCCCTGAGTTTGAATCCTGGTCTCTTTACTAACTGTGTGCCTACAGCGGTGTGGGTAAGGCAGGGATGAGTTTGACCAGCTCAGCTTTGGGAGAGAGAGCCGAGAATGATGGATGGTGAGGAGGCAGACGGGAGGCATGGAGACCAACAGAGAGAACGAGGGACCCGGCGCATCTTCGGGGACCTAAATTGCTTTTACCACACCCATTCTCTCTGCTTGCCCCTAGGGTACCAAGTCTCCTACTGGCACCAAGCCCTGTGATGTTAATTTCTCCCTTCTGAATGCACATGGATTACCAGACCCTGCCAGCAGTGCAGACAAAGAAAGGATCCTCTTAACTATTCAGGATGTAATGGTAAGATGGACTTCAGCCTCATAACCCCATGAAGGGCCAGGGGTCTTTGCCACAGCCAAGCAGCTGGGCTGTAGGATAGGAAAATCACAACAGGATTTGGCTTTAACAGAAAACCTCTAGCCCCCCCCCCCCCATTAGGTTTAACGTTTATTTTATTTTGGGGACAGAGAGAGACAGAGCATGAACGGGGGAGGGGCAGAGAGAGAGGGAGACACAGAATCAGAAACAGGCTCCAGGCTCCGAGCCATCAGCCCAGAGCCTGACGCGGGGCTCGAACTCAGGGACCACGAGATCGTGACCTGGCTGAAGTCGGACGCTTAATCGACTGCGCCACCCAGGCGCCCCGAACAATGCTTTTCAAAAATGAAACCCAGTGAGGAAACAACCAAACAAAGCCAAATTGAGGGACTGTCTACAAAACAGCTCACGTGGAGGCTTCAAAACTACCAATGGCATAAGTGAGAAAGGTTATTCCAGATAAAAGAGGCTACCAGCAGGGGTGCCTGGGTGGCTCAGTCCGTTGAGTGGCCGACTTCGGCTCAGGTCACGATCTCACGGTTTGTGAGTTCGAGCCCCGCGTCGGGCTCTGTGTGGACACCTCAGAGCCTAGAGCCTGCTTCTGATTCTGTCTCCCTCTCTCTCTGCCCCTCCCCCACTCATGCTGTGTCTCTCTCTGTCTCAGAAATAAATAAACATTAAAAAAAAAAACAAAAAAGAGGCTAACAGCATACCACAGTTACGCCACATGAGATCCTTGTTGGGGGGGTGGCAGGGGGCTGTTGGGGGTGCTAATCGCCCTAAATTGAAGGATGGTTTTGGGAAATCAACGAATTTGAAAGTGAACTACATTATATTAGATAATATTGTATGGATGTTAAGTTTCCTGAATTCGATGGTTCTATCTGTTCTGTTTATGTAAGAGAAGGCTCCAGTTCTCGGGTCTGCCCAGAATTGGTGAAGAACCAATGAATGTAGGTGGAGGGTACGTGGGTATTCATTATACCCTTCCCATTATAGTATTCAGATATATTTTCTGTGGGTTTTACCTTTTTTTCGAAATAAAAAGTTGTTTTTTTTTTTTTTTTTAAAGCTAGCACGTTAAGGAGGGGGATATGCCGCTTCAGTAGAGCTAAGCATCAGCAAAGAAAAAAAGAGAAGAGTTTCCTTTTAAGGAGACCTAGTTTTAAAAACTCTGTAGGATTATATTGATGTCAATTTCCTGATTGTGCTTTTGTGCTTTAATTATGCAAGATGCTACCATGGGGGAAACTGACTGAAGGGTACATAGGATCTCTCTCTCTCTGCTATTTCTTACAAACAGCATAGGAAATCTACAATAAGCACACCATGAAAAGTAAAAAGCTAATAACTAAATGAAATAAACACAAATGCACAGGTTCTGTCTTCCAGAGGTTCAGATTTTGATCCTGGGCTTGGGCTCAGGCATGTTTGTTTGTTTGTTTGAAGTAGCCCACATTTTGCAAACATTTTGCCATGTTTGAGAACCCCAGTTTTAGGGAAAAGACGGCTGTGGATCTCAATTTTTGATTCTGTAAGAATCGTGTAGAATATTTGAAATGCATATTTTAGAGCTAATTTTTAAGATACAGAAGTTGTAGGGGCGCCTGGGTGGCGCAGTCGGTTAAGCGTCCGACTTCAGCCAGGTCACGATCTCGCGGTCCGTGAGTTCGAGCCCCGCGTCGGGCTCTGGGCTGATGGCTCAGAGCCTGGAGCCTGTTTCCGATTCTGTGTCTCTGTCTCTCTCTGCCCCTCCCCCGTTCATGCTCTGTCTCTCTCTGTCCCAAAAAAATAAATAAAAACGTTGAAAAAAAAAATTAAAAAAAAAAAAAGATACAGAAGTTGTATATAGGAGATAGCATAGTTTTTAACAAAAGAATTCCCAGTGATTGTGAATCGGAAGGACTGAAGATTTCAGTTTACCTCGTACAGAAGGAAAGTTTTGGAGATAATTTGCACTTTGTGAGTTGGAACTGGGGACTATAAAAAAAAGTTTAAAAGTCTTTAAGTTTATTTATTTTATTTTGAGAGAGAGAGAGACCCAGAGCATACGAGCAGCAGAGAAGGAGAGAGAGAATCTCAAGCAGGCTCTGTGGTGTTAGCATGGAGCCCAGTGTGGGGCTTGAACTCATGAACCATGAAAATATGACCCGAGCTGAAACCAAGAGCCGGTTGCTTAATGGACTGAGCCACCCAGGTGCCCCCCCCAGCCCCCCAAAAAGGAGCTTTAAAATTCAAAGTTAGAATCTCATCTCCATCATACAAAATTAGGATAACTATAAAGTAAAAAACAAAATAAAACAACAACAAAAATCCAGGAGGTTCACAAAAGCCAGAAAAGGATGAGAGGGGCTCTGCCCTTGTGTTCAAAACCATATCCTATACTTCTGGTGACAGAGGATGTTACTTAAAATAACAAATGAAAGATACAAAACCGTAATAGCTCCTGACAGCATCTTCTCTATTATAGATCAATTTCTATCCAGAATTTTGACCATTAGTATCAAGAAAAGACCAAGTGATGTTCAACACACTCTTTTAAAGAAGACAGGAAAGTCTTAATGTATTTTAGAAATATTTTCATAGACAATTATTTTATTTAGGTTTTTGATTAAAGAGATGAATTTTAGATAGAAAATTAACTTTGTGTTACTGTATCAATACATAATTATATTAAGAAAATGAATATGAACCCTTCACATTTTGTTTTTCTCACTTTGGTCACGTTCAAAGTATGTTTCAAACTGGAAAAGAAAAAAAAAAAAGCAACCCGGAGAAAATAGGGGCATGTAGGAGAGGATTTATTAGTTATGACTTGAAAAAATTATGCTGGAATTCAAGATAAGGGTAGAAATACAGTGATGAATAGAAATAGGTGTGGCCAGGGGCACCTGGGTGGCTCAGCAGGTTAAGTGTCCCACTCCGGCTCAGGTCACGGTCTTGCAGTTCGTGGGTTCGAGCCCCATGTCGGGCTCTGTGCTGACAGTTCAGAACCTGGAGGCTGCTTCGGATTCTGTGTCTCCGTCTCTCTCTGTCCCTCTCCCGCTCACACTCTGTCTCTCTGTCTCTCTGCCTCTCTGTCTCAAAAATAAATAAACATTAAACATTTTTTTAAAGAAGTAGGTATGGCCAGCGGGGAGGTCCTGGATCCCTGACTGCGGGGGCCAGGTTTAGCTCATCGATGTGTCTTGTTGGGTGTTCTGTTTTAATTCCAGTGTAGTTAATATGCAGACTTATATTAGTTTCAGGTGCATACGTGTACCCTTCACCTATTTCACCCATCTCCCCTCTGGTGACCATCAGTTTGTTCTCTATAGTTAAGAGTCCGTTTTCTGGTTTGTCTCTTTTTTCTTTGTTCATTTGTTTTGTTTTGTTTTAATTCCACATATGAGTAAAATCACGTGGTATTGGACTTTCTCTACCTGACTGGTTTCACTTAGCATTATATCCTCTGAATCCACCTGTATTGTTGCAAATGGGAAGATTTCATTCTTTTTTTTTTAATTTTTTTAATGTTTATTTATTTTTGAGACAGAGAGAGACAGAACATGAATGGGGGAGGGTCAGAGAGAGAGGGAGACACAGAATCCGATGCCAGCTCCAGGCTCTGAGCTGTCAGCACGGAGCCCAACGTGGGGCTCAAACCCACAGACCGCGAGATCATGACCTGAGCCGAAGCCGGTCGCTTAACCGACTGAGCCACCCAGGTGCCCCAAGATTTCATTCTTTTTTATGGATGAGTAATATTCCATTGTGTAGACGTGTACACACACACACACACACACACACATACACACACTCACACACTCTTGTGTATCCATTCATCTATCAGTGAATACTTGGGCTGCTTCCATAATTTGGCCATTGTAAATAATGCTGCAATAAATATAGAGGTGCCTATATCTTTTCAAATTAGTAAATTAGCGTTTTCATATTCTTTGGGTAAATACCCAGTAGTGGGATTACTGGATCATATGGTAATTCAATTTTTACTTTTTTGAGGAAACTCCATACTGTCTTCCACAGTGGCTGTACCAGTTTGCATGCCCACCAGCAGTGCAGCAGACTTCCCATTTCTCCACATCCTCAACAATATTTGTGGTTTCTTGTGTTTTTGATATCAGCCATTCTGACAGGTATGAGGCGATCTCTCATTGTGGTTTTGATCTGCATTTCCCTGATGAGTGATGTTGAGCATCTTTTCATGTGTCTGTTGGCCATCTGGATGTCTTCTTTGGAGAAGTGTCTGTTCATGTCTTCTGCCCATTTTGTATTGGGTTTCTTTTTTCTTTCTTTCTTTCTTTCTTTCTTTCTTTCTTTCTTTCTTTCTTTCTTTCTTTCTTTCTT